TCGTTTCCAGCCGGTTAGTTCCTGCCTTCCTAACTCCGATTTTTCAGAGTTCCAGCCGGAACTAATAAAAAAAGCATGACCGGAACTGGAACTCTGTTGTTTTCAGAGAGATAGAATATCATACGTTTTTGTGTCAAACAAAAGTTCACAGTAGGAAGGAATTTGGACTACACAAGGAAAATGTACATGATGTTTAAAGTTTGTCAATCTTTTTATTCTCACATTTGCGAGCCCTCCTTGATGACTTGAAGTATCTGCCAGCAGACAAAGTAACATATGACTATACATGGCTTAATAAATCAGTTCCGGCCAGAACTTTTTCGCAGTTCTGGCAGGAACTTTAAAAATTGGTTCTGGTGCACCCCTATTTTACATATTACTACAGCATGGCTTAATGTCAATAAATTAATATATACTATGGTGTAATGTGAAATAATGTAAAACTGATGAAGTATGAATAAAGTTTAAAATATGCCTTATCATTGCTTTACTGGACAGTCTGTATTATGAATGAGATGCTATGAGTATTCTCCAAATGGCTTGCCAATTTTAATACACTTTCCAATGTGGGCAATGATTGACCAATGTCTGCAGGTTGTGGTGTTTCAGTTCGCATTGTGATGTTGTTTGGTTGTATGTCTCAGATTCAACATTTACAAGCTTGTGTGTTTTGGTAAAATGATCTTTTCTGTTGCCAATTACAAGCTCAGCCAAACTGTCATATATAGACAAGCTAAAATATGATGAGATTCAGCCTCCTCCAAGGAAACAAATCTTTTTCTGTAGGAATTATATACCCTTGACCTTTAAGTCGACTATCTGAAAGACAGAAAGATAAAATGAAACAAGTTAATTGTACTGTTCTGAAATATATATCAGGTGTTGATGGAACATTGGCCATTTTATTATAGAGAGATATGAAGTGATTATGACTATGGGGTCATTCATAGCATAATTTTGACAAGAATACAGCCTAATGAGTAATGCTAGTGAATGGAGTTCATAAAATTTCAATGACATATCCATGCAGCATTATTATTCCTGAAATTCAACAAAAGTACACACAGGGAGTGACCACACACCCTCACCTGCCCAATAATGACCACACACCCTCACCTGCCCAATAATTTCTAACAGCATCATGGGCAGATTTACTGGGGGGAGCCCTAGAATCTCTCTAACCCCTCTTATAAAGTGTTCAACCCCAAAATGTTGCTTCACCCCTCCTATTTTGTGTGAAGGTCTTTAATCATAATGCCCAACCCCTGCCGAAGCTCGCTCAGTGGTGCCACTTACACCTCACTAGAAATTTTTCCACTCCTTTAAAAAATATGAAAATCCGCCCTTGAACAGCATCTTGATGATACTCGTATACCTGACTCCAGTGGTGGAAAATAGGGGGGCGATGCCCCCCCTAATAATTTTAGCTAGCTTTCATTTTGAAAAATGTAACATGCGGGCCAGATGCTATACCTGGCCAATAAGGAGCTCCCGTAGCCGGATGACATCAAAAATCACAGGTCTAGGTGCACTTGCTTGGGTATTACTACTCGAAACATATACACGCTTAGCAGTATTCTCATTAGCAACATCACGAGATTACATTTCATAGCATATCATAGAGGTATCCTATTTATATTAATACAAACAAACAACATTATAAGTTGTAGTATAAACTGTAAATATCAGTCTTAAACAAGCTATTGTCTCTTTAATACTTCATCAATATAATAGAAAATGGATAAGAACATTTGATAAAGGGTACGAACTCATGTTCCTATATATCAAAACTGAAAAATAACATGATTGCAGGCCATTGCATGATGAATTGAATATCATTGTGTTTTCGCGCCATTTCGCGCGGTAACCGGAATGTCGCGTGTTTACGCAGTTTGAATCTGGTTTGAATAAATCAAGCACCAAATACCCCATTTTGAAAAGCCATTAACTTCTCGGTTTGAGGGGTCGTTTTTGATTTCTTGGTATCATTTGAAAGAATAACTTCTCTTCTATGTACTGGTACGATTTTTTTCGACCTTTTCTATTTTAAACTATAAACGACCCCATCATATATTGAAGCCAATTTCCGGCCGTGTGCAGTGACCCGGAAAATAGGTCAAAACATAAGCAAATTATTCGCCCCAAAAGTATCAAATAACCCAAATAAAATATTTATATAGTAAATTTCAATACCCAAGAACATATTTTTAATAAATACCTTTGAAACTTTCGTGATTTTCAGCGAGAAAAAATTCGATGAAAACTCCCAATTATTTCGTCGATCGCACGCGAAATTCACAATTGAGAAAAAAATCCGCCGCAATGCATCACGGTATAGTGACGATTCCTCCTCTGGGCTTAAACTAAAGCAAATTGTCTGAAATTTTGTACATTAATATTAATTAAAAATCTAACATATTTTCCATCTATCAACTCAAAATATGATTAATTAAAGCTTTTAAATTTCGTTCGCAAGCCATTTTTATTTTGTTGGAAAAGATACACCTCCCTGGTTCACAAAATTTGAGTTCAAGAAATTTTTTTCATTATTGTACATTATATATACCCAGGGAAGCTATATACATAAAAAACTGGATACTAATAGCTGTTTTGCGAAATTGAGAGAAATTTCAAATCTGCTCAGTTTTTCTATACACCCTAGCCCCAGCGAGTTAACGCTCTTTCGAGCGCCTTGTTATTAATTAATTTCTAAAATCATACGAGTCATTTTATTTCTGATATTCTAAGCTAGTATTTGTGCCTATTCTGATTCATTGCAATTGCTATCATATTAAACATAATTTCATACAAAATTTGGGACGAATGCATATTATTAATTAAGCGAGCTATATTAAATGTTATGTCAATGAACATTGTGTTAGCAAATTCCAAAATCGCTTAAAAGAGGGTTAAAATTACTTAAATAAATCTTTAAGAATCAGGAAAAGGAAATTTAGGAACAAGTTTTTAATGTATTCGTGAATTTTGGACAGTAACAGTGAGGCTAATAACAGCACAGGGACGTATTCATCGTCAATTAGGTTCTTGTGTCACGCGGAGAAATAGCTAAAAAATGCAAAAATTGTCAACTTCCTCATTTCTTAGAAATGCAATGTGTCGCAAATTTTATTGCGTAGATGTATGGAATAGCATCCTATTTCAAAGTTTAAAAGCGATTTAGAACCTGGGCAGATGCCACAAATGAGAATTCTGCAATGTTTAGGACCTATAATTCTCGAATTTGATATCACATGCGTTGAAATGTCTCGATCACTAAAATTTTTTTATTTGCCAGGTGCAACTAAACAGCTATATATTACTGTTTCTTAGTAGAAAGAGCACTCTAGTGCAGCTCAGACCCGAAAACGAAGCTCTGATTAGCAGAGAAAATAGAGAAAGCGGACTGTGATTGTAGGCTTTGGCGATTTCAGAAACCGGCATATTTTAATTAACTTGGGTCCTGGGACAAAAAATCGAATAGCGGTTGTAAAAACCACGTTAGAACGATCTTAACTCCAGTTTCGTAGTTAGGATAGATGAGAGTATTGACGGTAGAAATATAAGAGAAATCTATTTTTGAAGCCCAGATCGAGTGGTCCGTTCTTACAGAGACGCCTTCTTAATTGTGTCATACTTTGATTATTGCTCCCCTTTGTGGGATAATTGCGGAATTGTACTAAAAGAAAAACTACAGAAATTCCAAAATAGAGCTGCAAGGGTGTTGACGGGAGTAAGTTATGATACCAACTCCTCTGAGCTCCTTGAACGGCTTAACTGGAAAAAAATTGAAAACAGATTTAGATTTAATAAAGTGGTTCTGGTATACAACATTCTTAATAATGGTACTGCCCCCTGTCTTCCAGAATTCTTTTCTGCACGAAGCAATAATGATAATGACTATCATCTCAGAAATTATGATACAGATCTCTCACTTCCAAAACCTACGAAAGAATTTCTTAAAAGAAGCTTTAGGTATAGTGGAGCTGTACTGTGGAATAGTCTTTCTGCTGAGGATAAGTCTGCTCATTCGATTTATTGTTTCAAAAGACTTATTTGAATCTTGTTTTTAATTGTTATTCCATTTGTAACTACACATTATGTTCTGGGTAATATTCTTTTTGGGTCTGTGTGTTAATTAGTTTTTTCTTCATTTTTATATACTTGTAAATAGCTAAATAGACGCCCCTCATGAAAACCAGTCGTATAGCTGATGAGGATAGCATCTCTAAAGAAATTAAATACATACAAATACATACAATCGATCTACCCTCCGCTAATAAAAGTAATCACACACATATGTTCGACATATCAAATTAAGTTCTGGGACCGGTTGTATCAAGCCCGTTTAGCAACGGTGGTTACGCTCAAAATAGAAAGCAAGTCTATAGATTCATCCAACAACCAAACTAAAAGTTTTGAACCTTAATAAAGCAAGAATGTTTACAACTACATAATTATTCAGTGCACAATAAAAAGTTGACGTCTGATTCACGAGAGATATGAGAGTGTTATTTAATTTTGACTAATTATCCACAGTTTAAGCTAAAACGGGCTTGATACAACCGGCCCCTGGTGTTGAACAAGATATCTCGCTCGTTTGTTTCGTTCGTTCATGTAGATATTATGATTTCATGATTACCTGAAGCGAGCGGGTGGCAAAAGCCGAACGGATGGCCATGGAAGAAGCGGTTATCGCTCTGCCTCTTACCACTGAATTTAGCCTGCTATAAATCAGGTCGAGGACACGGTGGTAATCAAGTGAATTAGCTCAGTGTTCTTGACTATAACTCATGTAAGCTGAGATTGGTTGGTTTTCTCCTGTGCTTCGAGGGTTTTCTCTGGGTGACCCGGTTTCCACCCTCGCTAAGACTAACCATTAGGCACTAACCACTACTATAATCTGGGCTCGCAGTAATTGGCGAAAAGCTGTTGCGGTGACCCTGCCAAAAAGATGGCAAAGTTTAATTTAAATTTGTTGGACTTACGCATTTTAAAACTCTTTAAGGCCAAGTAAAAGAAAGATTTCTTGCGAATGAAAGCCAGAAAGTTGCGCAGATATACAACATATTGCTTATTGTATCTTTCTTCACGCTTATTTTTCCCACTTGTCCGCTTTCTTTTTCGCTAACATCAGTGTCGTTTTCAGAAGAACTTGCTGATATTTCCCCTCTTTGGTTAACTTTTGAGCTGTCCATGGGACTTTGCGCGTTGTTATTGGATAACTCATCATCTAGTATCACCTCAGCATACTCTTTTGCACGTTGAGATTGTGCAGTAAAGTCTCTTTTACGACGTTTTGTGCCCGATGGACCTGATCCCTGGCATTTATTGCCTTTACCAAAAAGTTCCAAGAATCTTTCGGCACGCAACGCTATCACTACGTCTTTGTATGCAGCATCTATGAGTTTAAGACCTTTGGATCCGGTTGTGGCGTTGCTAGAATGATAAACTTCCGATAGATTTACTGGAGCTGCACCGACTGGTTTAAATGCATTCGCGAAGTGTGTCTTCCTATCGTTCCACCATTCAAGCCAGCTGGTCAAGAACCCGAGTTTTTCTCGTTTCTTTTCGATGAAATTTTTGAGTCCAAAATATGCCTCTTCGTAATTTTTAGCCGTAACAGATGATAACAGCTTGTTTGCAAGCACCTCGAATTTTGTCTGTCATTTCGCACTGCCCAAATGCCTGGCGTGACGAACAATCGATTGTTTCAAATGAAATTCACAACTTACTGTTCCCTCATTAACAGCTTCTTCGCCATAAACCGCTCTAATGGATGCCCAGTTTCCACCATATTCATCGACCGCCCATCCTACATCCACGCCTCGACCATACAATAACCCGATGGATTAATTTCCAAATTTTCTTCCCATACTTGTTAGCTAATAACTCGGACAAAGCAGCTTCTTCCTTGTCGAAGCCACTGTTCTCGTTTTCAAAACTTGCCGAACTGGCATTTAATGCACACGCGAAACATTCTCCTATTAGAATACGTCTGCCATTGACTGAATGTCTATATGTAATACAAATAAAAATCATTTTAATGGATACTTCTTGTATAGCATGTAGCCTATATATCTAAAAATCTGGGCCACGGGTTCAATTCTGCCGGAGAGCCGGCACTATACAACACTTTTTCGAATCTGTTTTTGGTTATATAGAATATTATAGTTTTCGTTCAGTGCAAACAAGAAGTCAAAAATTTCCTTCATTTTGGGCATTTGCAGACTGCAGATGCCCAAAATGAAGGAAATTTTTCTATAGACATTTTTCGTAAAGATGACGGCCTACTGAAAAGCAGAACAACATCAAATGGAACGGATTTCCAGTTTTCTCTCGCAACCTTAGTGCAAATAAGCTTCAACACGAAAATAAGGCTTCGAGCCTCGTTTTCATGTTTCGCCAAAATAAAGACTGTAACTTGGCGCGTTTGTTTGGATACAGAAACTATACTTGTTTTGATTCAATTTGATATACGCATGCATGCATACATTCTCACGCTAGTCGTTTTAATTAACCGGCCGTGGCTTTTTGAACCAGTGTGTCTCCTTTCCCTGTTGACATAGAAGTAACTAGTAGATTGGTCAAAATTATACTCACAATACACAATAAGATGTTTCCAAACATTCTTGATAACGAATACTTTCCTCGACAACTTGAAGCAAATCTTGCCCCAAAGGTTTTCGATGTTTGGTGATATTACAAAAATATCATCTGCCTGCTGTACCCAAAACGCACCATCATTGTAATCTTTAATAAATCTCTGTGCTGTCTTCAGTTTTTCACTCACAGAATTCAGCTCGAAGATGCTCATCAATAGTAGACTGTCCCAATCGTCTAGTGCTTCTTCAAAATGTTTTAGGAGATTCCAGTACCCGTAATTCTGGCACGAATAATATATATTATTAATAAAATTCCTTTAATTTATACATTAATTTTTATCAATCGCGCTAATGTATAATGAATTATGAAGGAAACAATTTCATTGCCATGCATGATATGCATATTTCTCTCAAACTTGAAACAAGAAAATTGGGCGTTTGAACAATTTTCTTAAAGGAAAATGGCAACAACAATTTAGCTTTTTTATGACCTTTTACAGCTTTTTCATATGAAGTTTTATAGTAAATTGAATTTTTTCAAATAAAACAAAAGAAATTTTTGTTTCAATTATACTTTAACTCTGTCTGTTTGCAGGAATGATTCTTACAGAAATACATTACTGTAGACGTAGTAAGACGAGTGTAGAAGAAAATTGCATGCTTTCATGAATTCTTGAAAATGCATCGAAAAATTTCACTTTTGAGTATAAACGTAGATAGAATTACCTTATCGGAACACTGGAAAACTTGTCCGTACTCCTTTATAACGAACGAGGCTATGTTCTTTTCCGTTTCGCTCAAGTTATGACTCTTGTCTCGGTGATACTTTACAAGCCACCTTCTATGACACAAAAAATGGAAGCAATTTGATCCAGATTTCGATTTCGCGGTTAAATTGCCTGGTATTATTACTATTTCAAACGAAGTGTTTTAGAGGTTTTTGAATATCTTTTTGTTTATGAAAATATAGTTTTATTTTTCCAGTCTGTATTCCAAGCTATGCTGCTTCCTGATTGGATGCCGAAGTAGTCCGTTGAGCCCATACGTACCGCTCATAGTAGTCATACGGACCATTGTTTCGATTTTGAAAAAGTTCAAAGACGAACGCGTAACAATGTGTAACAATGTTAACAGAAAAGTAGAAATATCTCCATCTCCGAGTTTAAAGAAAGTGTACATACTCAGCTAACAAACATGCCCCTTAAGATTTTACATTAAATAAATCGTTACCAAATTTTAATTCAAGATCAAAAACTAGCGCTAGCATCTTGCAAAATTGTAATATATAATAAAAATAGGTACGCACTGCGTACATGTGGTTAGCCTTTGCAATAAAAATAGGTATGCTAAGCGTACATGCATTGGCACACGGCGTTAGTGAATTATATGCCAACCAAACAGAAATCACTGAAATTATCGCAAGAACATAGGGTGATTGTTACACTTTAATAGGGTGCCAGTTTTTACGAGGCGCCACCATAATTTAAAAAAAAACTTTCAAATATGGTTAAGATTATGCAATCAAAAAAAATAGAAATCCCCCCTTCCAAGTTCCAATTCACCCCTGTCAACAGCAAACATTTGATTTCAATACGATATCCCGCGTTCCACATCTTGTACATCGATAAATTAAAGCAAAACTTTTCAGAAAACTAGTTCAACGTAGTTTAGTATACCATACGACAATAACTAAACAATTTATCTTGATAATAAAAATATTATACTAATGTCAAAAAATACATGTAGTAGCTTAAATATTAATCTTAGCATTGGCATTGCCCTCAAAAGTTCAATGTTTTGATATTAAGAAGGTATTACATGAAACGTGAGTAACAAAGTCATTTATTATTGGGGATACAGTAGGGATACAGTACATTCACCATATTCATTCCAGGATAGCAGATGTTAGTTCATATGTCCAAAATTGTCATAAATACATCTTCTGTTATTAATTGAAAAGTGTCCTGATATACTAAATGCACACCATTAAAAGTGCATAAGATTCATTCTGGTTCCATACACTGCAGCTTTTGCTCCTGATCTGAAATATTTAATTGGTCACTGACAGATGGCAATCTTGTTTATTCATACAGTGTCTGTCATTTTCCAATATTTACTTTTCCAATAGTATACACCATTTAATACATTATAAGTTGACCAACCATTAAGAATTTTCATACAGCATATGTATAAATTAAAAGGTCATGCAAGCTTCTCATTATTTACAAATAAGACAGGTAAAATATTCTTCTCAACCAGTAACATCTTCATAGTGATGTAGAGTACAGTCTGGCATTATACGCCAGGTGGAATTCAATGGTGGTGGAGCCAGTTAGTTTTACTGATTTCATTATTTTGTGTTTTTGTTCATCTACAATGTTTAAAAAAGTAATATTACTATACTGGAAATATGTTACATTCTATGGCCTGTTCTCCACTTCAGCCATATTGTAACATACCATATTGTTTCCTTTTAGTCAAATGTCATTAGTTGTGCATTAGTTCTGCAGTTAGTTCCCAAAAGCCAAAACAATATGCTACAGTATGTTTCACTACTCGCAAACTGGGGGAAACAATGTTGATAAGGGGATCGAAGAAGAAATCTCTCAACACCAAAACAAAAAATGAACAGGCCATGACATCTTCGTCTATGTCAACACCAAATACAGGTGCATTTTCGAGCCATACCGGGTGGCCCAAAAAAAAGTACTCCGGTTTGATTTGTAATAACTTCTAAACAAGTAAAGCTATCAAACAGAAGTAACTTGCATTAAATAGAGGAAGGACTAACTTAGATTTTGATATATTACAGTTGCATTTTACTTAAAAATTCACGGAGATATTAATGTTCAAAATCGGGAGCATATTTTGGGATGTGTCTAAAATTAGCGAAAATCGGCGTATCAAATTTTAACTCCAGCGTTTGTTTGTTTAATGACATATCAGGGTAACTTGTATTTCAGCGAATTGTCGTTAGGGTTTGTAAGGGATATGGCGTAGATTTAGACATCTTACATGTAAGTCTTAACTCATTGTTTCCTGAAATATGGACGTTCGAAATTATGTAAGTATTTAATAGGTCTTTGCAAACTTAAGGTACATGAAAGACCATGCAATGCAGGCGCTTCAATTTTTCTTAAATAACCTATTTTTTATGTTTTTCATGGGTTCAAAACAAAGTTGATTATTTCTCGGTTAGAGCAGGATGAATATTGTTCTTTAATGGAGGAAATAATATTGCTTTTTGCAAATACACATCACAGTATCAAAGATACTATTTTGTTACGATTTGTTCCAAAAATGTTGGATGTCTCTGGGGAGTTGCTTGTTATGTCTTTACTTATGGAGTTGTATGGTTTGATTGTGTTTCATTCTCAGTTTATTCTGAACTTGCCAAGATTAAGAAAGGCAAAAGAGTTTGGGTGTTCTTAACAAGATTTCAGAACGTTGCAGAAGTTACAAAATTCATTCAATGTGAAGTGAGAAAATTCACAATTCCAATGTGACAGCGTGCCCTAATTCAGAACTACGAACGATCCATGACGATCCTTCGCGATGCAGTGGTCTCATGAAATAAGGAAACGTATTCGTGCTAGGAACACACGCGGATTTCGGACGCATAAATCTTGCTTGTATTTTGTAGATAATAATACTTTGTTTCATAATAAACAATTTGTCAAGTGTCATTTATTTACAGGTAATAGTGCATGTTTCAGTCGGGTAAATCTTGATTAATATTTGATACGCTGTTTTTGGCATATTGCAGACACATCAAGAAATATGCTCCCGATTTTAAACATTAATATCTCCGTGAATTTTTAAGTGAAATACAACTGTAATATATCAAAATCTAAGTTAGTCCTTCCTCTATTTGATGCAAGTTATTTCTCTTTAAAAGCTTTACTTGTTTAGAAGTTATTTCGAATCAAACCGGAGTACTTTTTTTTGGGCCACCCGGTATTAGCATTTATTATTTATTTAAAAAATTCCTGGTTTCTGATTGGCTAACAGCCAACTGTGAAATTGTCATATCAAATAAATATGGATTTTTCACATTCATATTAGTAAAATGACGTCAAAGAGTCAATATGAAAAAAATTTGGACGCCATATTACTATGACAACGAAAATCATATTGACTCCCCTGACGCCATTGATATGACGACAGCGAAGGAATTGCTTTTTCTTGATACAAATAAAATACAAATGGCATTTGTTTTGAATTTTTTAAATAAATAATAAAACAATTATTGAATTTGGTTTTCCACAATATGAAGAATTATCAAGCCCTCAGTTTGCTGTTATCTGCAACCTCAGCCGTCGCCTTCGGTTGATAACAACAAACTTCGGGCTTGATAATTCTTCATATCGTCACAGAATAACGTACACAGAAGGCCAACTTCTTTTTTTTTCCTATGATTTTCCTATGATTTTGGCGTAACCCGTAATTCGTCATCAAATGCTGACGCCATGGTCTTAGCCAGTGCGCGTTTGAGAGGCATTCACCCCCTGATAATATTCAAAATGGCAGATGTCCAGGGGGGAATGCCTCTCAAACCTGCACTGGCTAGGACCATGGCGTCAGCATTTTGATGATGAATCATGGCGTGACAGCGGTTACTCGAGTCGACCTTCTGTGTGCATTATTCTGTGATATCGTGCTCAGCCTCAATTAATAATTGTTAAGTGAATGTGAGGTGAAGTTGGTGAACCATGGCAAGTAAAATACTTTTAAACAAAGCATCATCAACATTTGATTCCAGAATTTAACTAGCTTTCAGTCGAGACATTAACATTTTTCCTTGTGTAAAATTATGGTGTGTACCAATTCTTGAACGATAGAGTCTCAATCGCTACACCCATATTTTTCAGTCAAGTTCAACAGTCAAGGTTATTTTGTGTTGTGGTTTGTATTATTATTAAAATCGTTCACCTGCAAGTTGACAGGTCAGTTTACATATGAATCCCCCAAACTGGCCGAGCTAGCTCTTTACAATATACCTGCACAACTACATGACAAGGTTGGTTTTGTTTAACTGCACAATGGCAAGTTTAATTTGATTTTATATTTCAATTTCTATTTCTATTTGACATGTCGACCTCACGTAGGCGACTCAGCGCCTGATCTAAGATCAGTGCAAGCAACAAATATAAACAATGGCTTCCTTCAACTTTTTAAATTGTTATGCGCGCAAAAATATGGAGCCTGATCA